CTACTAAACTGTAAATGTGAGGATTTATAATGGATTTAATGTAATTTTCAAAATGTAGGCTAAAAAAGCTGAACTTAAAATATACCTGACTTGGAAAAAATGTCCAATTCAGTTATCTTGCCATAACATTTCATTATCACTTTGAATATACTTTACATTCCTAAAATCACAAACTTTAGTAAATGATTCTTGGAACTCCAGACTCCAGCATACATTTTTTTATCTCCTGCACTAAATAAGAATGATGTGAGTGTTATCCCACTAAAGATAGACACTGCTATAATCTGAACGGTAGCAAATTGAAATTAAAATAGCAAAATTAAGTGTAAAATAGTCCATATAGGTTGGAAAAGGGGTCCATACCAGTTTTCTTTAGTCTACATTTTGCCTTTCAGATTGCAATTCAGAGCTTAGAATTCACACCAAGGTGAGCCAGTGCATGATGGGAAATCCAACACCCTTATAATCAAGTTTCCTCTGTTACATTAAATATATGTGACTGACACTGAAGGAACAAAAAAAAATGCATAAATAGAGTGATTTGCATATGTGCATGTATGTGTATGCGTCTGCATGTACACAAATGTTGCATAAACTGTATCCAGTGTTTCTCTTATTAACAAAACCATTATAATTTTTTAAAAAAGTGCTGAGCATATAAACATATAAGACATATTCACCTGTAAATTTATGTTAATTGCAAATTAAAAGGTGGGCTCTAATTATTCTTTTATTAGTAACTTGGCAAGAGGCTGTTTGTGGATTTGTTTTTGTTAAAGAATATTCATATTAAAACGTGCATTGTATGATGTTTAGTCTGACTGAAAACGTATAATAATACAGTGAGGGGAAAAAAGTATTTGATCCCCTGCTTATTTTGAACGTTTGCCAACTGACAAACAAATGATCAGTCTATAATTTTAATGGTAGGTGTATTTTAACAGTGAGTAGACATGTGCATTTGTTTCCGTACCAATGCAAATTCGTCCGAATATTTTTGTTTTTTCGTATTTGTTTACTAAAATGTAAATGAAAGCCCTACATACAAAATATAAATGAAACGAAAAGGCAAATGCCAGATGCATTACCTTTTCGTTTTGTTTCGATTGTTTAATAGACTTCATGCTGCAGGGAAATTAAGCCCCACAGCACGGAAAAAAAAACTTTGCGCATGCTTGCTCTCATTTAAAACTAAATATAAATCAGTATAAGGGTCACTATGACCCCCATATTGATAAAAGGGAGGTTAAATCCTCTCGGATGCCCCTAATCACAGCAGGCCACGAGGAGGGGCATGTCGCCTAAACAGTGGCTGCTAGTTGTCATATAAAACTACTAGTGACTGGGCAGCTACATGCCTCTACTACACGGGGTGGGGACCTGGCACAGGTAGGGGCATGCGGGAGGATTTAACTTGTGCCCCCTTATTGCACTAGCGACTGGGCAGCAATAGCTGCCCAGTCACTAGTAGTTTTAAATTTGCGGGAGCATTTAACCTTCCTTCTATTAATATGAGGGTCATAGTAACTCCCTTACTGGATTTATATCCAGTTTTAAATGACAGCAAGCAGCCTCCGACAGTGACATGCCCCTACTCGCTGCACTTCTATTACCAGAATGGAGCTGGTAGTTCTGCCGGCTACTTCCTTGCTTTTCTTTTTTGTCAAGCGTAGTGCTATTTTTGTTCTAATGGACGAAAATATTTTATTTTTTTAACGTATTTCAGGATTGACAAATTACATTTTTATTTAGTATTAAATCATTCTGCCAAATGATTTCACACTCTTAAAGGGATTGCTCCTAATCTCAGCTCGTTATCTGTATCAAAGAAACCTGTCCACAGAAGCAATCAATCAATCAATCAGATTCCAAACTCTCCACCATGGCCAAGACCAAAGAGCTGTCCAAATATGTCAGGGACAAGATTGTAGACCTACACAAGGCTGGAATGGGCTACAAGACCATTGCCAAGCAGCTTGGTGAGAAGGTGACAAAAGTTGGTGCGATTATTTGCAAATGGAAGAAACATAACTGTCAGTCTCCCTCGGTCTGGTGTTCCATGCAAGATCTCACCTCGTGGAGTTTCAATGATCATGAGAACGGTGAGGAATCAGCCCAGAACTACACAGGAAGATCTTGTTAATGATCTCAAGGCAGCTGGGAACATAATCACCAACAAAACAATTGGTAACACACTATGCTGTGAAGGACTGAAATCCTTGCACCCGCATGGTCCCCCTGCTCAAGAAAGAACATGTACAGGCCATCTGAAGTTTGCTAATGAAGATCTGAATGATTCACAGGAGAACTGGGTGAAAGCTCAACTCGCTGTGTTTGGAAGAGGAGGAATGCTGCAAACCTGGTGGCCAACTACAAGAAACATCTGACCTCTGTGATTGCCAACAAGGGTTTTGCCAGCAAGTACTAAGTCGAAGGGGTCAAATACTTATTTCACTCCTTGACATGCAAATCAATTTATAACTTTATTGACATGCGTTTCTCTGGATTTTTTTTTTTGTTATTCTGTCTCTCACTGTTAAAATAAACCTACCATTAAAATGATAGACTGATCATTTATTTGTCAGTGGGCAAATGTTCAAAATCAGCAGGAGATCAAATACTTTTTTCCCCTCGCTGTGTACAAAAATATTCTCAAACTATGTCTGTCAGATATCATTAACCTGCATAGTGTACATGTGATGCAATGTGTATATTTATAGCCAACATAAACAGTGCAATGTTAAAATACAAATGAATTGCTTTAATGTCAAGTCAGGAAAAATGAAAAATAACAACATGTGTGCTTCATAATAAATGAAATTCTTTAATAATCCGGTAATCAAATGCGGATTTAGTGCTTAATGCCTAAAGTGCCATTACAATAACAACATGCATATAATCTTTATTAGTCAAAATAAATATTATATATGATACAAATAAAATATAATCACAAAAGCTCCAGTAAAAAGTATGTCATCAGAGGCTCATTGAAGCCATATGGAAGCTTAGTTTTAAATGAATACAAAATTTGTCTCACGTAAGTAATAGTTTATTGAAGCATTTCAAAATAGTCAAAATAGTTACTAATAAATAAATAAAATAATTTTAATAGCAATTATATTGTTGGGAACAAAAAGGTTTTCCATGCAGGAATCCTGCTATTGTTTGATTTAGTATAGTGAGCCTGTCATTTATATTTCCTCCTCTCCAACATTGAACTCTACATTATTTCCAAAAAGGGGATTTGAAGGGGGCCCAGGGGCTTGTTCTGCACTCCAGTTATACCTGGAGTGCATCACCTGAATCCATTTCCACACTAAATGCCATCATCTGCTGAAAATCAGTTGTCACTTGGTAAAAGTTTAGATTGGAGGAATAGAGCCATCTGGGGATACCTAGGACTTGAGGGCATTCCTCTCCCTGGGGACAAAACCCTATTTTTCAAGACTGGACTAGCCAGCCACATTTGTGGAACTCTGAGCAATGTCACAGTATGGCCGCAACTTAGTCAAATACAATAACTTGAGCAGGTTACTTACTGTCTGGGAACTTCTTGGACAGTTAGTGAGAGCTTTTCCAGAGAATTATCCAGGAATATACAATGTTTGGGGGTTATATATTGGAAAAGGGAAATTTTAGGGCCCAGATTCTATGGCTTCCCTGTCTGGAGAAGACACAGCATGGGTGAAACCTTATTAACGCCAGACTCATCTAATTAACTCTTATCCACCAAAACAGAGTCATCACATCTGATGTTTGGGTAAGCTGCTATAATCACTGAAGGTGTCCTGCTGAAAAATGGGGGGGGGGGGGTTGATGGAGATACTTAGTAAGGCAGGATTATTTTTATGAAATCAACATTTTGTTTGTGATGTCTGATGCTCATTCATGTGATAGTTTGGCTTGACAGAACTACTTTCATAAAAAATATTTGGGGAAGCATTCGGACAAACCAAAAATGGGTGTAAAAATATGCCAATTGGCACACTGCAAAATATTTACATTATATAAATAGTATGTGTATTTTTTGCAGTACACCGATAGGTGCATTTTCCTACCATTTGGTTTACAGACCAAGTGAGAAAAAGCAAAGAGGAGGGCAGCAAAAAAAAAAATCTGTACATAAATGTGTGCGTGTGTGTATGTGTATACAGATATTTTTATATATAGAGATTTTCAAACTTTAAAACCATTTGGAAACTATAGAAACATATAACATAGATAGAAATATAGAATGTGGAGCATCTAAGCACATGCTTGAATAAATTGTTTGATAGCTTCTGGGCATGGATTGAAGCTTGGCATGCTGCAGCACAGGGTCAGTTGCAAGAGAGCTGGAGTAAAGAGGGATGCCAGAGAGGCGGCAGCCTGAGAGGACATGGGACACCCTCAGGCACAACCTTGACAATACACAAAAATCCCCAAGGTTGCCCATCTGGACCAAAGATCTGGGGCACACCCCAGATGCAACTTTAACACAGGCGGAGGCCAACTCACTGCAGGCGGCTCACCACTATCAAATTCTCCAGACCTATCCCAGCAAAGGAGGATTCGGACTCCAGAAGCACCCATGTCAGTGGCTATGTCATGCCGGCCTTAACGCATGCCCGGAGCTGGAAGGATGAACTAGCTTGCCCCTGGTTGCCCACTACCACCAACGACCATCCAGTACAGCTGTCACAGATCCCCTTAGAGGAATCGGATGACCGAGACATGTCGCTGATTCAACAGCCCACCAGCGGACTCCCCCCCATATATAAAGGGAATCTACATAGTTATACACAGCAGCCGCAGGCTCTCTATTGTTTGTAGAAACGTACAGATGCAGCATTTCTATCCTCACACTTATGCCTTATTTCTGTTTTGTTCTCTTTTAATGACATGTTTTTCTCTTCTATTGTGTATACCCTTGGGGCAGAGCCCAGAGAGGGTATGTGGTCTCCAGCAGTGGTTATAATAATGCTGAATAGTGATGTCCCGAACTGTTCGCTGCGAACTCCGGTCAGCAGACACATTCCAGCCAATCAGCAGCAGACCCTCCCTCCCAGACCATCTCACCTCCTGGACAGCTCACTAAGAATGCAGCTTCAAAATGGTTGCTGTCCAGGAGTTGGGAGGGTCTGGGAGGGAGGGTCTGCTACTGATTGGCTGGAATGTGTCTGCTGACCGGAGTTCGTGGCGAACCGTTCGTGGCGAACCGTGGCGAACAGTTCGCGAACAGTTCGGCGAACAGTTCGGGACATCACTAATGCTGAACTTACCTGAGCCACACTTAAACCAACAAAGTAACCCAAACATGTCATGTTCTAACTCGTTTAAGTAATTATTGCAACTTAACCTTAAAAGTTTAAACTTAACTTGGCACATAGGCCTGACACAACAGTTTTGTCTTGCATGTCATGCTTAACTTGCTTCAGTACCTACTGCAAATAAATCTTGAAAATTCCAACCTAGCTCTGCTCATAATTTTGACACCACAGGTTCGCTTAGATAGCCCCTGTAACCAAATCTTGTCAAACCTTGAAAGTTTAAACTTAACTCTTGTACATAGGTCTGTTAAGCTTCATATAATACATAGCATACTCAATGTTAATCCTGCTTCCCTCTCTACACTAAGTGCATTATATTACATCTAACATGCAAATCTTTTAACCTACCTTCCAACTTACCTAGTACAGTGTTAGCCTCACTCTCTTATTGACCTTAACAGATGCACGGATTAACCTGTTAACAACCACACATTACTATATAGAATAGCCTGTTACACTTTGTACAAATTCTTGTCTACCTTTATTTAACAAAAATGAGACAGATTCTTCGAGAGTTGATATGTCATCTACATGATTGTGATACGTATACATGCATTAACTCCATTATTTCATTTTTCTTCTGTACCAAAAAACATAATGTCTCAATAAAACAAAGAATTAAAGAAAAAAAAAAAGAAACATAGAATGTGACGTCACATAAGAAACATTCAGCCCATCTAGTCTGCCCAATTAGCTAAATACTCTCATTAGTCCCTGGCCTTATCTGATAACTAGGATAGCATTATGCCTATCCCACACATGCTTGAACCCCTACACTGTGTTAACCTCTACCACTTCAGCTCGAAGGCTATTCCATGCATCCACTACTCTCTCAGTAAAGTAATACTTCCTGATATTATTTCTAAACCTTTACCCCTCTAATTTAAAATTTTGTCCTCTTGTTGTGGTAATTTTTCTTCTTTTAAATATAGTCTCCTCTTTTACTGTGTTGATTCCCTTTATGTATTTAAATGTTTCTATCATATCCCCCCTGTCTCGTCTTTCTCCAAGCTACACGTTAAGATCCTTTAACCTTCCCTTGTAGGTTTTATTCTATAAGCCATGAACTCTCTCCAAAGTATCAATATCCTTCTTAAGATACATTCTCCACATTCTCTGCTTACAATACTCCAAGTGAAGTCTCACCAGTTCTCTGTACAATGGCATGAGCACGTCCCTCTTTCTACTGCTAATTCCTTTCCTTATGCAACCAAGCATTCTGTTAGCATTTCCTGCTGCTCTTTTACATTGTCTGCCTACCTTTAAGTCATCTGAAATAATTACCCCTAAATCCCTTTCCTCAGATGTTGAGGTTAGGACTCTATCAAATATTCTATATTCTGCCCTTGGGTTTTTACATCCAAGATGCCTTATCTTGCACTTATCCACATTAAATGTCAGTTGCCACAGCTCTGACCATTTTTGTAGTTTACCTAAATCATTTACCATTTGGCTTATCCCTCCTGGAACATCAACCCTGTTACATGTCTTATATATATAGCAAAAAGTCATACCTTACTTTTAAGACCTTCTGCAATATCACTAATAAAAATATTTAAGAGAATGGGTGCAAGTACAGATCCCTGAGGTACCCCACTGGTAACAAGACCATGTTTTGAATATACTCCATTGACTAAAACCCTCTGTTACCTGTCACTCAGACACAGCCTAACCCATTTAACAATATTGGAATTCCAACTTAAAGACTGCAATTTATTGATAAGCCTTCTATTTGTGACAATGTCAAAAGCCTTACTGAAATTTAGGTAAACAATATCTACTGCACCACCCTGTTCTATTATTTTAGTTACACAATCAAAAAATCAATGAGATTAATTTGACATGGTCTCCCTGAAGTAAACCCATGTTGTCTCTGATCTTGAAATCCATGTGTTTTTAGATGTTCAACAATCCTATCCTTTAACATGGTTTCCATCACTTTCCCCACTACTGAAGCAAGGCTTACTGGCCTATAGTTGCCCGACCCCTCCCTACTACCTTTCTTGTAAATGGGCACAACATTCTCTAATTTCCAATCTTGTGGGACTACTCTTGTTAACAATGATTGGTTAAATAAATCAGCTAATGCTTTTGCTAGTACACCACTAAGCTTGTTTAATAACTTTGGGTGTATTCTATCAAGCCCTATCAAGATGCTGATTAGACAGCTTGATTGTTGCAAGGGTGTGCCTTAGGCTGGCCACAATAAAAGGCCACTTTAGGTATTTACTAAAATTAAAATTCTAAGTGAGTTTAAAATTTGAACTATAAGCACTATAAGAATTCCAGTTCATCTATTTTGAACTTAAATTTGAAATTCCCCATTGTAGTTTTTCACTAAAGTTGAATTGACCCTGTTTTGAATGGGGCGAAACCATTCAGCTGCATACAGGACCTTTGGGACTGAATAATTTAGACATTGTTCACGCCATTCAACAATGTGTGAATTTTTCAATTCAGTCCCAAACAGACTTAAATTTGGTTCGGATTTCAGCTGGAACAAACACTGCTAGACTGCTGAAGTCTGTCTGGAAATGAATTCTTCAAGTATGGGCTTGTATGCTTCAAAAAATCCCAAAACTGTTTGCGTGATGGCAGCACCGTCAGCTAGATGCCACGTTAAAAAGTTTAAAAACAAATAAATAATAAAAGCCTATAGGAGTCAATATATCTATAATGGAGGTTTAAAACTTTCCTATGCCCCCACTTGTTATGAAGCAAGTAGTGGCATATCTACAAAATATTTAAAACTAGTGACAGCCATTATTATTAGTATGTGATTAAATAATTTAACAGGGAGGTGGCTAATAAGTCTACCCCTTTATTATACATAATAGGGTCTCCACCTGCCGGCATGAGTGTGGGTCAAGAAAGGGGACAATATGTCTCTTCTCCCTTTATTATAAATATTGAGTTCCCCAATCACTAGCCAGAAGAGGGGAAAATAGGTCCTGCCCTATTTTTAATATTAGGGGCCCAACCCACATAATGAATCCTCATGCTGCTGAGGATTTTTAACTATTTGCCTGGCCCAGATTTGATTCATGTGGTCTGGAGTTTAGTTAGACTTTTATTATCAAATTCAGGCTTCTTTGTGGCCAGGTTTTCAAAATCCAGACATTGAATTCTATAATGAATTTTGCAGTCCAAATTGCCCTGCAGAGCCACAAATGGTTTTTCCCCATACGGTACAGGGGATGTTACTTATTAGTCTTGTGATTTATTAGGAATAATTTAAAGTGAATTTCAGGTTCAAATGGTTATGATGAAAACATAGCTATTTTTTCCAGTTTAATATTTTCCCTAAAAATCATAAATTCACTTTGCGCTCACTCTGAATTCTTGACAATTGTTTGTAATTCACATGTGATGTTGCCATGGATGAAAAATGCATATTTTATTACCGCCCTCCCTAAATGTATAATATTTCTCTTAAAACTTGCTTCATGTGTATCGTCAAAAATACATTGTAACAGTTTATATATAAAAACAGGTGGAAGCCTGTACTGTGGACAAGGTTATCTGACCCTCTCCCCTTAACTGCCATTGCATCAATGTTGCCCATCCACCTCTCCCTTTTATATCACATACTCACACGCAAGGGGGCCCTTTTCTTTGCAGGCCTAACCACTCGTCAGTTTCGGCACACCACAACTAAATTTTCATAGTTATCATTTTGTACAATCAATTAGAAGAAGTAGCCTGGTTATTTATGGTATTGGTTTATGCCTGAAGTTCTGGGGGCTATTAGATATGTTGGAAAGTTTTTTATTTAAATTTTAAGCCTAACATTTACATTTACCTATTCTAGTGCATGCCTGTTTATTCCTGTAAAATGAGTATTCTATGATATATTGTTCTGTTTTTCCATTTGATAAAATTGGTGTAGTTTGCATATTTTGCTGCGTTAATATTTGCTAAACCAAATGTTTGAAGATACTTGTATACAAACCTCAAGCATATTGATTGGTATACAAACATCAAGCATGTAAAAAAAATTTTTCGTTTTCTAAAACAAATACACATTGTTGGGAAAAAAAAGTATTTTTTAAGGATTATTCAAAATCTCTATGAAACTTAGCCAACCAGTAAATTCATTGCGATTTTCCTTCTCAATCATCAGAAAATTATGTTCCATTGATGATTTTTAATGCCAGACATGACTTCTAGGGATTTGGCAATTTGTATACATTTTGCAATTAGCCCAATGAAACAGATACCATAATGCGTGACATCTGTTTTGTCTTTTTTCTCTCTCATGAAATATTCTGGTTTTAGTGCTTTAACAGTACCAGAAGCAATTTTGCAAAGACATGAAATGAACATATGTTGTCTATAAGCCTCCAGGCTCTCGGTGAAAAAGCGAAAATATAGCACTTCAAGGCAAATATTGTCCCAGCAGAAAGAGTGCCAAAACCAATATGTCTCTGTTTATTGACACGTCTCTAGTGATCTTAATCATATGGTGATTTTTCACATATTTATGGGCGGTACAGTCTTAAATCTTTTCTTTTTTAGAACTCAAAAAAGATGATTTTTTTTGCAATTTTAGAGACAACTTCTTGTCAAAGTCAAAGATAATTTCACAGATATTTCAGTAGATAACCTGTTATGTTTCTGGTGGATTGTTGAATAATTCAAGCAGTTGGACATGAAAGTTTCTGACTTAGACTAGACAATACCTATCAAAAGATACACCATTTTCACTTTAATAATATAAATGAAAAAATTATATTTAAAGCAAATTATAGATGCAATTATATAAGAGCTGATAGATTATATGTTAGATATGTATTCTGAAATGTTTGCTATTTTGTCACTTATTATTAAGTGCTCCTTAAGTTACTGAATTATAC